TTGTGTCCATCCATCTTCATCAAGAAAGCAGGCACATTTCTTGACATAAAGCACCGTTGACTGCTCTGACAATTATCCACTATTCATTTAAGAGTTTTGTCTATTTTTCTTCTTCCTCCTTTTTTTTTTTTTTTTTTTTTTTTTGTACTTTTGGTATCCTCCATTCATTCATCTGTCTTTTTATTTTCTTTTTTCTTTGTTTGCTTTGTTGTTTTCTTGTGGGGTTTTGGACAGGGAAGCTTCCTATTGTTTCACAGAGTGCTACAATACTTGCTTTGATGTCACATTAAACAAATGTACATTGTCTCTTTGTTCTCATTAAGTGTTCTTTTCAGTCAGTTTTTTTTCACATAGGAGAACAAATAAAGTATATAGTCAATAAAGCACCATACATAGTAGGTTCAGGAATGTAACAAACCATGTACATCCATGTCCCAGAGAGAAGTTCTTTTTTTTTCTAGCTTATTTCACCTTACATCTGCAGGAGAGAAAAAAGATATAATAACTCCATGATTAGAATCACAGGACCTTTCCTCTCAGATGTCTTTTAAAAAAAAACTATTCTGCATGAAATTCACTAACCTGGGACAAGAAGTTCTAAATGCTGTTTTGATTGAGTTTACATGCTGACTTTTAAAGTTGAATTTTACAAAATCTTTGCTTCTAGCATATTACTCCCAATAAATACCTGTTAATCTGAAACAGGATATCAAGTTTAGCATTCTTTCAAAAAGATACATCCATATAAATGAAATCTGACATTGGGAGTCCATGTGCAAAAAAAAGTGCTTGAATTATTAAATTCCCGGTCATCCAGCAGTTACATATTTACTGCAAATTCAAATTAAATTCTACTCAGAACACCAGAATCATCTGCAAATGTTGCAGCTCATATGATGTCAGGTATTTTAGAAATATAAAAGCCATATTTAATTTGGAAATTTTACAGCTGTTACATCGGAATTCACTAACATGCTGATCAAGCCACTCTTGTACTAAGAGGTTTCTTGTTTTGTTTTTTCTACATTGTAAACCTTATAAATTTTGATGACATCTGATTCGTGCATCCTATTCTTCCTCTGAAAGCCCCCGCACTCCACCCCAGACCAGTGAAGGTTCTTAGGACTCTGGTACAGGGCCTTGTTACAGAAGAACAGGTGTCCTCTTGTTTTGTAAATTATGCAGTGATTTCAATCATTTCAGATGCATGTTTAATCAGTCCACAGTTCAGGCTAAGGAATGTTTGATGGTCATGCATGTAATAAGATTTGCCGTACGTACTCAATGCTTTCACAGCCAACTGCTTGGAACATAAACCATTTGTAACCTGGCAATTCATTCATGCACTATTATGGGCTGCTTAGACTTCAGAAATCAATAATATTGAAACAAAAAGCAGAGGAAATGGAACTTTAGGTTTCCAAGAAGCTTAAGTATTAGCACCCTCAATAAATAAATAAATAAATAAAGTGCAAGAAGAGGAAGTAGCTGAAGAATGTAAGATGCTTATGGTGATGTGTAGCTTAATGGAAAATACCAAGCATGTAGAATTATCAAAGCCAATCACATCTAATCTCTTTGCAGCCTTGAGGTAGCAAGTGTCAAGATTTTGAACAGTGATTAAGTGGGAGTGATGATATTTGATTAAGTTTTCCATTACTTGTGCCATTAGGGTGTTCAGCATATAGGTCCTACCTGATTAGCAAATAGTTCCAGTAGTTTTTATGTTGGTTTTAACCTTTTTCGTTTCCGTTTTTTACCTGTTTCCCTAGGCCTTCCTGTTAACATAAGGGAAGGCTGGTAAAAAGCCCTAAGATAATGCATTGTGTTGAAAACTAAAGTAATAAACAACTACAGTTGTTATCTCTCAAAGAATACTCATAATCTTTTGCATTACAGGTATTTCTTTAAAACTTCTGATTTTGAAATAATGTTTGCATAAGTAGTTATCTAAAAGGAAAGTTCCAGTCACCCAAGATGGTGGTGGTAGTGGTAAATCTGCCTTGTGACTAAAGGTTGAACTTCGCTATTCCGGCATTCTCTAGTCCAGCAACATCCATGGTCCAGCATGATTTTAGTTAGCTGGATGTCCATTTATCATGGGAGAGGCCACATTTCACACAGTCACATAAAATTTACTTACAGACAAATAAATTCTGTGCTCTCCATGTTCTGTACCCCTAAATGTCTTCTAAGAAGCCAGTAAGCAGTGGAAGTGTTGGTAATGCTGCTAGACAATATTGACCTCCTGTGGTTTGGCAGATTCTCTGGTTCAGCACCAGTCAGGTCCCGGGAGTGCCAGACTAGAGCGGTTGGGATAATCTAGCTACAACTAATCAGGAAAGAGATCTTGGAGTCATCGTGGATAGTTCTCTGAAGACGTCCATACAGTGTGCAGTGGCAGTCAAAAAAGCAAACAGGATGTAAGGAATCATTAAAAAAGGGATAGAGAATAAGACGGAGAATATCTTCTTGCCCTTATATAAATCCATGGTACGCCCACATCTGGCATACTGCTACCATTACTCCTCGTGGAATGAGGAGTAACGGTAGTTCGAACTAGGAAGCCTAGTTCGAACTACCTAGTTCGTGCCGCGTGTAGCCGCGCGGCACAGGGTTCGAACGAGCGGGGATTTAAAAATGGCGGAGCCCCGCTTATGCAAATGAAGCCCGGGAAATTCAAATCCCGGGCTTCATTTGCAAGTGCGGTATGCCTACATTACCCTCCTAGTTCGAACTAGGAGGGTAGTGTAGACATACCCTATTTGCCTTCAGTCCCTGTAGTTTAGATATTTTGAATTTGCCATCCACTTGCAAAAACAAACATTCTCACATATAAGGAGGGATATGAATCACTATCTTCTGCCATTGCGATCATATCCTTCATAAGCCTGATTCTGAACTGACCTCCCAATTCTTCCCACACAGTCACAGCTTTTCATCTTTGACTGCTTAGCTGTTGTCCCCAGAAAGTTGAGGTGGATGAGATAAGATGTTTTCATGTACAGCACATAGAACAATTTACAGAAATATGAAAACCCACCAATTTTCCTAAACTTTTTGCTCCATTCATAACTCAAACTAGCTTTGTGCTACACCCATGCCGCTTTATTTGCCTATTGGTGCTTAATGAACAGGACTAATTTTTCAGCTCTCCGTGTAGATTATAACTTCCCTCAGAGGGGATTATAAGCAAAGCCCAACATGTCAAAAGAACTTGAAATCTTTTGTAAGACAAACAGCAAAGTAAATTCTGCTGACGTGAACTTCTGATTCCAATAACTATAAAATTGCCACTCATGAGCCTTGCATTTTACTGAGTACTTGCACTAGTAAAACGTCTTCTGAGGAGGTGAAAATTTACACCCGGTGCGTGGAGGACATGGTAACCTCCAGCAGGAACTCTCACCCAATTTACAAGCTTAGACAGGCACCTGACAGAAACTATAACCTCCGCTGAGAAACTGAGGCAAATTAAATCCAACACCAAAAATATCCAGCCAGGTGTCTTCCCATCCCAATGACATCAGGCCACTGGGCTGCCCACTTCTGCACTCCATAATAAATAAGAAGCCTGAAACGCAGGGCAATGGTGTGTCCTGACAGGACGGAGATAGCAGCAAGAAACTTGCCTAAAACACAGGCCTGGGCTGAGCAACCCTTAACAAGTTGCCTATTTGTAAGAAATCCCAATGCAGGCAAGTTTTACCTGCTCTGCTTTCCTTAAAGTTTCACACTCTTTGGGCCTGATTCTCCTGTTCCTAACACCACTGTCAACCAGCAATAACTCTACTGAAGTCAGTGGGCTACATCCGCAGCCAGTGTAAACTGCCACAGTTCCACTGAGGTCAGTGCAGCTGATCTGCATTGGCTGTGGAGGATCTGGCACAATGGAGTTAGATGATCCAAGGGAGAGGAGAATCAGGCCTTCTGTAATCCATATGAGTACTTCTGAAAAATCCCTCCTGGCAGCAATACTCTCTCCCAGCACTGTCAGAGTCCCTAGGGCAGTGAGAGTATCCATGGGCACACACAGAGCTAAAGGCCAAAAGCTTCCACAGCAAGAGGCCGCCAGGAAAAATAAAATCGTAATAATAATGGAAAAACCCAAACCAACGCCATGGATACCGTCACACAAAAGACTTTCCGATAGAGAATTGTGGCTGCAAATATATTACATGGGAGGTGGGGGAAGAAATTGATGAACATGACAGTTAAATAATAATAATAGGAATAAAATGCTCGAGAGTAAGGAAATCAGAAATTAAGGTTCCTGGACCAACCTTAGCTTTCACCCTGTAACACTGTCCATCTGCTAAGCTAGTACCTAGAGCAGGCCAGGAGCATCCAGCTCACTGAGGCAGCAGGGAGACCCAGGCAGGCTTCCCTGCTTGCCCCGCAGCCCCACGCTGTGCAGAAACACAGCTGCGGGGCTCCATTTCTGGAGGGGAAGGGAGAAGTTTCAGGAGTCCCCCCTGTCTCCCCACACAATCCTATTGGCGGGGTTTCTGACAGAACCCAGCCAATGGGAGCTGCTTGTTAGAATAACAGGCAGCTAAGAAGAATCACGCCCCCTCTACTGGGCTCAGTTATTTATGAAGCACATGGCCAGGCAGGCTGGCTGGCTAGGAAACATTTTAAGCTCTGCAGGCAGGCAAGTTAGTTTGGCAGCTGGCAGGTAAGTCTCTTGGCCACAGCCTGCTTCTGGTACCCCAGCCCTTTCCTACCCCAACTCTCTGTCTCCCTCCACACTCAACATACCCAAACCCTCTGTCCCCCTCTTACACCCATATCCCCTCCCAGATCTGGCACCCCAATCTCCTGCCCCAGATCACAATCCCCTCCTACCCTAGGTTACATCCCGAACCCTTGCACTGTAGTCCCCTGCCCTATATCACAATCGCCTGCTTCATCCCAACTTCCTCCCAGACTCCAGTCTCCCTCCTGCATCCCAATACCTTACCCCAAGCTCCCTTCGGCACCCAATCTCCATTCCAGACCCTGCATCTCCTCCATTAATATCATGGAAGAGTACGGCCTTTGACCACTTTCCAAAATCTTGGAGTGGCTCCCCATCAAAAATTATTGCCCACACTGACCTAGAGACACCCCACCCCTCCATTTATCATTCTCCAAGCCCTTCCTAACACAGAGGCTAAAAATCCACTATCCCTGCCAAAACTCTACAACAAATTTATAAACTGCTAACCAGGTAGGGCCTGATCCCAAACCCATGGAAGTCAATGGGAGTCTTTCCACTGATAGCAGTAGACTTTGGATCAAGCCCCCTAATCCATATGGAAGACTTGATCCTTCACCAGATCATCCTCCCACATACATCTAGGGATTATAATATCTTGTGTCTTGACTGATGGATTGATTGATTGCAATTGAGTCACGTAATGGTTTATCAGGCCAACTTTATCTCAGCAAGAGAAAACGTTACTTCATCTTCTGATACAGGCAAGACATCACACAATTACCCCATGTATGTTCCTGCTACAGGCTGTAGAAAACTCCCTGCCACATATAGGGCAAAAATCGACTGGTACCTGTCCTCCCTAAACATTATCCATCATTTTCAGGTGCTACTCTGATTGCCTCACAACCGGAGACACCTGTACTCCATCAAGTCTAAAACTGGTGTGTGACTCTGTAGGGAACCACGTAAAATGGTTTAAGTTAAATTAAACTGTTAGGCTGCTCTAACTTACACCAGGGCTGGGTGAAGCCCTGGGTAGCCTGCGCTGTCTCCTGCTTTCTAAGTGCCTCCTAGTCCCTGTGATCAAGCCACAGTGAAAATAAGTATTTCTTCTCCGTACACTCATGACTCCCCCTCTTTTCTGGTTTTCATATTCTCAGCAAGCCAGGCATCTGTTTCGCATGACAACTGACAGCAATCTCCGTAAGGATAAGTAGAGAAATAGAAACCAAATTAAGGCCACAGTAGGAAATTTCATTTCAAAATTCCTTACTTTTGAACATTTAAATTCTTCTTAAATGAAATTTTCTACTAATTTCAAGTCTAATTTTAGTAAAGTAAATTGTCGAGTCTTAAGGGTATCTCAAAAGAATTTGTACTTGATAGAATTTACCAGCAAGCAACAAATAGTACCACCGTCAAATCAGGCAAGATTTTTATGTTATGCATATTATGTTTCATTTAAAGGCTGCAGTAAAAAAAACTGCAGTTAGTTCAATGGAGACAGGGCTGGGTCCATATTCTACTACAAATATAAGTTCCCATCTGATAAAAACACATGTACAAAAATAAAGGATGACATACCAGTTTCTTCTTCTCGATAATCTGAATTAGAATTTGATGATGTACAGGTGCATTCCATATGCTCTTCTAACCTCACCAGAACTTCTTTTAATTTTGGCTTTTTTCTAACATATTCCACTTTTGCCACCTAAACAAAAGAATGGTGTTTGCATTTAAACACATTAATGCATAACAGGACTTCAGACGGGTGGCTACATATATCTTTAAAAATGCCTCTATCCTGGAAAAGCATCACATATATCACATACTTATTTCACAATGCACCCAATAATCCCTCTAATTTTTTCTACTTATGTGCAGAGTTTTACATCCATGCTCATAATATTTTTTTTATGTGCACCAAGACATGTGAATGTGCATCACCAGCAGAAACACAAAACCTAACTGTGGGTGCTCTGCTAATCAGCTGGGCAGCATTTGAATCTCTCCTGAGAGGCCATGCATGCACAGTGGTTACAGGGAACATTGGGCACATCTTTTATACAAGTTCATTAGTTTCACACCTGATTTCCTATTCAAGGGGATTGAGTCATTCTGTATTTCAGGATTTTTCTAAGTCAAGGTAAAGTTTCACATTCAGACTCAAATCTGCATTTGTTTACTGAATTTACAGAGTCTGATACATTTTTCTGTCTACAACATTTCACCAGAATCATGTTGAATTACTGGCTATTTTTAAGACTATGGCAAACAGTGAAGACATGGAAAGCACCAGTGCTGTTTTGAGAACCTAGATCTCAAAGACATGGAGCTTCTTGTACCACCTCTGGGCAATCTTCAAGTGAATGAAAGCTCACTTATCTTTAAAGGAGATCTAGGAGGAAAATGAAAAGATGAAAAGCTTTTTAGAAGTCTTGCCGAGACACATCCATCTCGCTTGATGTTCTCTCTCTACTGTATGGAAATGTTACCTTTTCATATAAACTGAGTGCATATTTCACCAGCATTTAGGTTCCAGGAACATTTCAGTCTCAGTCTAGCCTTCACATAGAAATTATGCTTAAATAGAGTACAAACAGGTTCTAATGCAGTTTGGGAGGCTAGCAGGGACCATATTCTAGCCCAAGAAGAAAGCTAAGAAAGAACACAGATTTTAAACTAGAGATGTAAAGGGGCCAATTACAAGTAAACATTGCCTTAGCAGTGTGCTTACTGGGGTAACTGGTTAACCGGAGCCTAAGCAGGACGGAGCAGTCTCCGCCTGTGGCGTGGTGCTGTCTGACAGGCCCTACCCAGTTGGAGCAGCCCGGCTGGGCCTATCATACCATGCTGTGGGACAGTTAACTGGTTAAACATATAGTTTAACTGGTTGAGACTTCAAATGGGATTTCACATCCCTGTTTTAAACACTGTTTTAACATGCACTGCCCCCATCGACACTGGCCAGTCTAACCTTCTTAGACTGTGCAACTGCCCCAAAGATTAAACCTGAGTGAAATGAGTATAGATAGGGCCTTGTGCTGAGGGAAGAATCCCGTCCAAAGGGGAATCTTCCAGCTGCTTTCCTTTGCAGCACTCCTCAGCACTGTTGCGACATACAAAATGTGCATCTCATTTGACAGTCAAGGGCTTTTAATGTGGACTGTCATGGAGAGCAATGGAACCAAATAGGGTGGATACTGTATTATTTTATACAAATTAGAGACAGAGAGAAATCAGAGACTGGGTGTCTGATGCCTTGCACAGCTCAGATGATTGACACAACTCTATATAGCAGTGAAATAGACAGGGTGGTTAAATGTTATTAGTGTCCACAATTTTCGCTAGACCTTTTTACTAATTGTGCACTGATTTGTCTGTTGGGTTTTTAATACTCCCTGATACTAGCATTGAGAAAACATTGACCCTCTGTTCTTCCAAAAACAGCACATCGTTCTCATAACATGAGGGTGATGAGTGTAGGGGAAAGGTGGGGAGGAATTATACTTCCCAGCTGTCAGAAACCATCCGATAGCTTTCTGGACACACATGAGCAATGGATATCTGAATGAGAGTACTGTAGCAGAAGCATAGAGTGAAATACTGGGTCCTGTTAAATCAGTGCAAGTTTTGCAATTGACTTCAACAGAGCCAAAATTTCAAACCTTCATTTCAGTCGCTGCCCCCTTTGTCAACAAGACCTGGAGCCTATTTTCATTTACCCAGCAAACAACAGTTCTGCACAGACAGATGCAGTAGTTAAAATGTCTACATTAAAGACATTTTCTGAAGTTGTAAGATTTCCATACAAAAAGATTTAGAGCTGGCTCTAACATGTCAGAAGGCTTTACTGAAGGGTCAACTATGGGTCACAGCAATATGTTTCAGACTCTTCCATCAGCCTCTAAGCAAGGCTTATGCAAAGATTTGAAAATGTATGGTACATCTGAGTCATCTAGCATTAACGCTGAAAAACTCACAATAACAAACAGCCATTAAGACATCTATAACCAGAGACATAGAAAGAGACCCAGCAATTATGACTTGGCTTTGATATCTGTCATACTTACGCCAATTGTTGTAAGTAACCAGCATCATCAAAAATTACTTGCAACTAAAACTGTCACTTTTTTTTATTTTAGGACATCTCTATTTTTTTCCAAATTGAGATACCACTCCAAGCTGGCATAAAAAAATGGTTAGACGCCGTCCACTATTTACTTTGTACTACACATACTGGAAGATATAGGAAATACTTAGAAACTATATGATGATAATCTACTTCACACTGACCAATTGAAAACTATAGGTTTTGGTGACATGTGTTGTAAATTAAAACAAACCAAAAAAAGCAGATCCATCACTCCTCTTTCTCCTTCAGACAATATAAGTTAAGACTGATGATTTATACATTCAATTTCTCAAGTTAAGGCAACATCAAACACAATGAATTTCCTAACTTTGTGCTGTCTCATAACACCTGTTGCTACCCTGGGGTCTATAATTAATGCTAAGCTAAAATCTTAGGCTCGGGCCAAAACCTCAGCTGATGTAAAATGAAACAGCTATGCTGACCTCACAGGGATCTGACTCTAGGGGAGCATTTTTTTTTCATATTTTTATCTTTCTCCCCACCCTGTCTTGTTGCTCAAAAGAGAAGGATAACCACATGCTATTATTTGCTACCTATTGCTTTGAAATGATCAATCTTGAGCAAGGCACTCATTTCAATATGGGCTTCTTTCATCTTTCTCTAATGCAACAATACCAAGAGCCTTCAACAACAAAGCCCAGGAAAAATATTCCTTACAAAAGCTATGGGAGAGGGAAGTTCCATTTGTGAGGGTTGTTTTAAATCTCCCCCTAATATTACATTTAAATAATTGTACCATAATATGTAGTTTGGGTCTATGTTTTGCACTTCTATAGTCTCTATTCCACATTCCTATTGTGTGTGAAGCGAGAAGAGGGGAAGGAGCTAGGGGAAGAGTTATGTTGCTCAAATTAAAAATATCTGGTCTGGTGGGAACACTTGATGGTATCCTCAGCCCCAAGGGGAAGGCAATGTTTCAAATTGTTCAATGGTGAGACATAAGGAATGGCAATGAGTTTTCCCAGGCAGGCTGCAAAATAGTCTCATGGAAATCAGGGTCTTAAAGCAGAGGAAAAAGGCAGGACTCTGGGTATGAAAACCCTGAGAACCCCAGTAGCATAATAACAAAATTATTTCTATACAAGAACTTACAAGAAACCTCTCAGCATGGGAGATGACTTTTACTATAATACTCAACAACAACAACAGCAAAAACCCCACTTGGATAGTCCCTGTTTAACATACCAGACATGAAATACAATCCTGAATCAGGATGCTTTTCATAAATGAAATTACTAACAAAGGCATCAGTTTGCTCTTGCTCCGAAGTGGATTAGCAACGGGTATGATGGAATGAAGCTCTATGGACCTGCGCAATTCTAAACATTGAAACCGAGAGGTCAAGTTAAAGAACAAAGACAGGGGGCTGTTGGGTTTTAACTAAACACAAAGAAATCAGCTAGAGTCAAGCCACAGCTGAGACAAGGTGCATTTGCCTATCGCAGGTCAAAAAGTGATTGCACAATTGTGTTTTATGGAACAAGAACCATTATAATACTACCTGTTACGGGGTTTGCAATTCTTTAAAGGAAGTTAAAGGTCAAGTATTTCCTGGTCCCATTTCAGCACAGAACAAGAGAATACTGAAAGATGTAGTCCCCAGAGGGATACGGGGAATTGTATGATGCTGCAAGGCATGCTGAGAAGAAGCATCAGGGAATATAAGGAGCAGCTTTCCCTCAGAAGGAGAAACCAGGAAGAGCTCAGAACTGATATATGGCTCTTCACTAAGGGTACATCTAAACTACATGGCTCCATCGACGCAACTCTCCCTCCTGTACCCCAATCCCTTACCCAAGCTGTCTTCTGTGCCTGACCCTGTACCTCGTCCATTAATATCATGGAAGAGTGCAGCCCTCAACCACTTTCCAAAATCCTGGAGTGGCCTCCCTTGTGAAAAATTATTGCCCACCCGTGGCCTAGGTCCTTGCTACAATATCTTCCAGGCTGTTTCCTCTGCTCTCTTAGGCTGTGTCTAGACTACATGCCTCTGTCGTCAGAGGCATGTAGATTAGACACATAGGCAAAGTCAAATGAAGCCACGATTTAAATGATCGCGGCTTCATTTAAATTTACATGGCTGCCGCGCTGAGCCGACAAACAGCTGATCAGCTGTTTGTCGGCTCAGCGCGGCAGCCATGTAAATTTAAATGAAGCCGCGATCATTTAAATCGTGGCTTCATTTGACTTTGCCTATGTGTCTAATCTACATGCCTCTGACGACAGAGGCATGTAGTCTAGACACAGCCTAAGAGAGCAGAGGAAACAGCCTGGAAGATGTTGTAGCAAGGACCTAGGCCACGGGTGGGCAATAATTTTTCACAAGGGAGGCCACTCCAAGATTTTGGAAAGTGGTTGAGGGCTGCACTCTTCCATGATATTAATGGACGAGGTGCAGGGTCAGGCACAGAAGACAGCTTGGGTAAGGGATTGGGGTACAGGAGGGAGAGTTGGGTCTAGGAGGGAGTTTGGGTGAAGGAGGCAATTGTGACCTAGGGCAGAGGACTGGGGTGCAGGGTTTTGGAATGTGACCTATGGCAGAAGGGAGTTACGAC